AGGGTTCAGGGTTCAGGGTTCGGGTTCAGGGTTTAGGGTTCAGGGTTCAGGGTTGAGGGTTGAGGGTGTAGGGCTTAGGGGTTTAATTCGGGTTGATGCTGGGTTTTTGAACCCTAGATTCCTGGATCAGCCTGGAAAAGGTGAGACTAATAAGTAGGTCGTTTCGGTGTAGACCACAGACTTCGCAACTGATGCTGTGCTGGTACTTAAAGCATAGTTACAGGAGCAGCCGCCCCTGCAGCAAGATCTTGAATTCCAGAGCACATGACCCAAGTCTCGAAGACCGAAAACCGAAACAAGCCTAGATGGGCCTAGAACATTAAGCAAAAAACGCTCAACCGGAGGTGGGGAACTTCAGGTAGGTTGTCAGTCTTTCGAAGCGTTTCGCACACACTCACACTAATAGGTCACTCATTCATTGGTGTTGCAAAAGCCATATTTTGGTAGAACGGTTCTCCACCGCATCCGTTCTCGGGCGACCACCACGTGAAAAGCACAACTCCCTCCTTTCTTGTAGACGGTATTCCCCAACCCACGTCCGATTATGTGGGGTCCTGCGGTGCTTCCTGTCGTCCCTCGACCCTAAACCCTAAACCCTAAACCCTTAACCCCATAACCCTAAACCCTAAGCCCTAAACCCTAAACCCTAAACCCTAAACCCTAAACTAAACCCTACACCCCAAACCTTCTTGCTTTGCGTCCTTTCTGAGAACTGTAGGCATCCATCATGGCTTGCAAAGCTGCACTCTTTGACGACAAAGCCACTAGGCCGAAACGGTTGAGGGTTTAGTGTTTGGGGTTCAGAGTTTAGGGTTCAGGGTTTAGGGTTCAGAGTTTAGGGTGTAGGGTTTAGGGTTTAGGGTTCAGGGTTCAGGGTTTAGGGTTTAGTGTTTAGGGTTCGTTACTACCATGCTTAGTGGGTCGCAGCAGTATGAGCAAAGTCATCGCTGTGTGATGACTGTAGTGGTTCGACCCCTCGTCGCAGCGGCAGCAGCAGCAGCAAGATGAGGACAGGAGGAGGTCTTGGCAGTGGAAGTGGTGGTAGTAGTGGTAGTAGCAGTAGNNAGCAGTAGCAGTAGGAGCAGTAGTAGTAGTAGTAGTAGTAGTAGTAGTAGTAGTATTAGTAGTAGTAGTAGTAGTAGTAGTAGTAGTAGTAGTGGGTCTTGGCACGAGTTGGTGTAGTAGTAGTAGTAGTAGTAGTAGTAGTAGTAGTAGTAGTAGTAGTGGGTCTTGGCACGAGTTGGTCTGTCTTGTTTAACGCTTAACCAAAGACCCATGTCCCCACCGCACTCGCATGCGCCCCGAATGAGACCAGCAGGCTTCTAAGGAGAGCTGATGATCTGCGAAGCCAGTAGTACCCACAGGCCCGAAAGTGGTTCCTTTTTGGGGTTCATATTTAGAATCCTGTTAGGGAATCCCAAAAAGGAATTTCTATGGGGCCTATAGGTAAATCTGCGAACCCATCCTTACATGCCCAAACAGCGAAATGTCGCTGATGAAGTCTCGGTTCGGTTGCTTCCATGTGTTTCCCTTGATGGCCCGGGCGTTTTAGGGCTTGTGGCCTTTGATGGCTCATTCTTAGATTGGAGGCCTTCGGCGATACTTATCTGCCTTCACTGTCCTATTCTGCTGTGTCCACGTGAGATGGGCCTCGGGCTGCGCACTTGATTCCCGAAATTTGCAATCCCATTCGCTTTGGAGGTAAGAGATCGACTGCACGGCAGCCTGCCCAAGGGAACACTATGAACGTATGCCCCGAAGCCTAAACCCGCAAACCTTAAGCCCCACTCCGTGGGCATCATAAGCTAAGCAGCCCTAAACCCTCAACCCTAAGCCCTAAACCTTCCCCAAACCTTGATTACCCGAAAACCTGAACCGGCTAAACCTTCCCAAGGAGACCTTCGACAAGATCTTGAAAGCCCAGCGTCCGGGCCAGGCAAAAGCCTTGGGTCGTCAGGCAGGGGTGGAGGGGGCGAGGGGTTTTAGGGTTCAGGCTTTACATTGGGGGGGGGGGGGGGGGGGGAGCATAGAACTGTTTTGTATGCTCTGTGGTATAGCATGGTCTAGTATAAATTATCTAGTATAGTATGTATGGTGTATTAGAGTATTGCATCGTATGGTATAGTATAGCAAAGTGTACAAGGCTTGTAGCTTCTAGTAGGGTTTATGTTGCTTGGTGGCAGCCAAGCTTTGCATGGACGGGACCCAAACACAACCAGGACTCGAGAACAGCACACATGCAGTCAGCACAGGTCGAACGAAAGGAGCACAGAATTACAAACACAGGGTTTGCACTGGCTCGTGGTTTAGACTTTGGTTTTATCCTGGATCCGGGCAATTGTCTGTGTATTCCTAAACCCTAAACCCT